TTTAAAAATACTAATTAAAGAATTAAAAAATTATTTTTTATTAAAATTATAATAAATTAATAAATCATATGTATTATTTTTCATAACCATACCACAGGCATAATTTAATAGATGGGAATTCCTCATTTTATTTTTCCAACAAGACCACTCACTTCACTTGATGTTTTTTTTTCGAGGTTTGACTCGTGTTATTTGGGCTGAAGTGAGAGAGCTTTATCCAGTAAGTTATCAAACTTAAGTTTTCAAATTAGGTGAGCCAACCCGTTTAGCCCACCAACCCGTGGTGGGCCGGGTCGGGCTCAACTTTTTTCAGCTCACCAATAAATGAGCCGGGTTGGGTTGGCCCACCAAAGGCTCAACCCGTAGTGGGCCGGGCCAGGCCGAGTTACCTGTTTTGACAGCTCTAGTTTTCAACCTTTGCTTGGTTCCTCAAACTTCCTACACAAGCTAAGGAGAACCGAATCTCTTCAAGACTTCTACTCCATGAAGAACACTTCGTGGAGCTTCAAGTGTCATTGAAGGTGACCTCAAGAGAACTCACGGTCCTTGCATGGAATACTTGAAGAATATCAACCTTCTCCAAGTAGTTCCATCAAAGCTTAAATCAATTTTAAACTTCAAGTAAAGTGCCTTAGCATCCAAAATCTCTTTATTGAATTACACATGTTTTTGACCGAACAAAATTGGAAGACAAAATCTGAAGAACGAATTTACCAAGGAGACCTAGCTCTTGATACCAAATGATGGAAAACTTGTGGAGAATCCAGATTGATGTGGAACTCCCTTCAATTTCCTCCTAGATCTTTTGCTCCTTGATTCTTGTTAAGCTTCCCTAAGGTCTCCAATGGAGGAGGAGACCTTAGAACCACCACGGATTGGTGGAGAACTCTCCCAAGAGACGCCACTCCTTGATGAAGAGATAAGTCTCTTCAATTCTCACCACACTCTTCTAGGGAAGGGAAAAGAGAATTGGATGAATATCAAAGAGGTTTAGGGACTTTTAGAAGAGAGAAATTTGAACAATCTTCAGAAACAATTCTCAATATATGCCAAAAGTGTTTTACAATGAAGGAAAAACAAATATATAGGAGAAGGAAGCTTGGAGAGCAAGCTAGCCTTAACCATGGTTCACTAGGAACCATGGTAAGGTTTAGTTAACCTTCCATGGTCTAGAAGCTTGGAGAGAAAGCTACTCACTTAGCTTGCTTGGTAAGCAAGATAAGGAGAAGCTTGTGCTTTAAGCTTCTAAGCTTGAGAAGGAACAAGCAATCCGACCAAGTGACACCTTGGCATGGTGGGCGGCTCATGGACTTAATTATGCTCCAACCAGTTTTTAAAAAATGTTGATTTGGTTTAGTTAGTTTCATTCAATGTGAATGGAACCTAGCTAAATCAAATCTATGAAAAATTAGGAGAAAAATGAGTATAATATGTAAAAATTTTCGTAGGCCCAACTCTTGGTCTAATTGCTAGTAACACTCTCTAGCTTGCTAGTCACACTCTCTAGCTTACTAATGCCACTCCCAATCCTACTACTAGAAAAATAAGAAAAGAGTGTATTTCTAGATTAGGTTAAATGGAGTCAAAGTGCCCAAGTAACCTACCCTAGAAACAATATACAATAGCTAATAAAAGGAAATAAAGTGCCTCACAAATACAAAGGCAAAAATACACCTATACAAATATCTACTATATACAAGGTACAAGAAATCAAACTATACAATGTATGTACAATGGAAAATCAAGAGACTAATAAGAGGAATCATACTCAATACTCATATTGAGCATAGGTCTAAGAAGCACCTCCTCTGTACAAGCCTCCTCTAGCCTCCTAACCATGGACCTAGTTAAAGGCCCAATGGTCTTCATGGGTGAGCCTCCTTGGATCAACCTTCACCCTTCTTGGTCTTACCTCTTCCAAAGGAATCCTTGGGGATTAGATTTCCATCAATTTGGTTCTCTTCACCAAGTGGAGATGAAGGACACTCAAGGGAACCCTAAACTCACTCTAGGGAGGAGATAGGAGAGATAGGAAGTCTAGACCTAGTGACTAAGGAGAGGATTTGAGGAAAAAATGCTCACTCAAATTCATATATTCCAAAGTGTGTACAAGGAGCTAGGCTAAGGGTACTTATAAGAGTGGGAAGGCATCTAAGGTTGCATGTGTTAGAAAAGAATGGCTCAATCCAAGAGGGGAGGTGAATTGGATTCTATGACACTTAAAATTGTTTTAGAGTTCTGAGGATCTTTATTTCAACTTAAACTTTTCTAATATGAATTCTCAAAGAAGTTCCTTGAAAGACTTGCCAATGGGAATAAGTTCTATATGCTTTCTTGATTAATCTTAATTAAGTTCAATGTTAAGAACACTTAATATACAACACTTTGGTTCAGCTTAAAGCAATGTTATGCATACAAACATATTAATTGAGATCATCCACTTTAATACTCAACCAAGATTTTTCTCAATGTAAAAGATAAGAGTGAGAGAGAAGAATGCACAAGTATTTTATCCTGGTTCAGCCACTCCACATGTGACTGTAGACACCTAATTTCGTCCGGAGGCATACAAGTAATGAAATGGACGTCTATTATCAAGGAAAGGAACTCCCAAAGCAGGAAAAAACAAGACAGGACATCAGAGGGCCGAAAGCCCAAAACAACTAGTTTTAGTGGCCCGGAACGGGCTGTTCCAAGACCGGAATGGGCCGTTCCCAAATCTAGAATGGGTCGTTCCTAAATTGGAATGGGTCGTTCCGAGCCACCTAAAAGGCTTAAAGACTCTTGGTTGGAACGGGTCATTCCAGACCAGAACGGGCCGTTCCAAACTCCTCAAAAAAAGGGCTAAAACCTTAACTGGAACAAGCCGTTCCTAAATTGGAACGGGCCGTTCCAAGTTATTAAAATCGCCTACAAACTCTTGTTTGGAACATCCATTCCAGTTTATGCAATTATGTTTTAATCTCACTTCTGGAACGGGCCGTTCTAGTTTCAGAATGGGCCGTTCCAGTCACAAAATTAACACACAATGTTTGGATCCCGAACGGGCCATTCTGGTTTTGGAATGGGCCGTTCTGGCCACTTTCTGATGCCTATAAATAGACAGCTTGGGTAAAGTTCTAAGAGCCCCCAAAAATTTTGTCCAGGACTCTTTAGAGCTTGAAATTTCTCTCTCTCTCTCCTATTGTATTTCTTGAGTATTGTACGGCAATTGTAGTGTGAAAGGTTGCCACAAAACAGCTAGATTTTCCATAGATCTAACAAAGCTTGCCACGAGGTATTTCATTTAATCTTCTTCTCTCTCTTTTATTTCTTATTTTTAATATACATTGTTATAACAAAAGCAATCATGTAGACGTTTTAGGGTCAACCGTGTAATTTAAATTTCAAGCATGTAAATAGTAATTCATAATGGGGATCTAATATTTAATTTATTAATTCTTTTCACGTTAACTTCATCATAGGGTATCGATTGAGGGCGTTGTAGGGGTGCTTAATACCTTCCCTACATATAACCGACCCCCGAACCCAATTTTGGTTATCAAGGCCATTATTGGATTCTTTTTTTAAAAACATTTTCTTTTTCCAATGTTTTGAGTAAAACATTGGTGGCGACTCCATGAACCTATTTTTCAAAACCATTAATTAAGGATTTGTCTGGTGTCCGGGCATTCCTTAATTGATAAGATTTTCAAAAGGATGTCTAATAGATCGCAAGATCAGAAATTTTGGGGTTGCGACAGATGGCGACTCCACTAGGGACGTTTAAAGAGGGCCAGGCCCATTTAATTGATGAAGTTAATAAAATAAAAATAATAATTTAAATATTTTTCCCCTTTACTTTGTTTGCTTTATTTGTTTGGCTTTAATATTTGTTTTCCTGTTTAAATTCTACATTTGTTTGAATAAAAAATTGTACACAAACCTTTGCACACAACAGTTCTCCCTACACTCAGGGGCATGAGGGTATTAAACATAGGGAGTGGTTGACGTACGACTGCCCCAAGTTTGGCCTTGGAGCCTGTGAGCCTTATCGGAAAACACACTCAAGGTGATAATCGGTTACTCTAGCCCGAAATACTGCGACAGACCTTAGAGTTTGCCAGGTGACGGCGACAGAGATACTGGGTCCCTATAATGGGGGCACCTTGGGGGCCTTAAGACCAGTGAAATTAGAACTGTCCTATACAATGCACTTTTCTTGCAGGGACCACAGACCAAGGATTTAAACGTGGTTGTTCACGAGTGTACATTTGTTTGAGCATATGTGTGTTGCATTTATTTGTGTTTATTTGTTTCAAATAAATAAGAATTACAAATGAATAGATATTAATAAAAAAATATGATACAAAATTTAACTCCCTTCTATATACCTAAACCTCAAAGCATCATATAGGATAGTTTATTTAAAATAAAATAAAAAACAACAACAACAACAAGGACACTAAGCAAGTATTTTTCCTCCTCCTCTGTCCACGCATCCTTCTTTATAGTTGGATCAAGATGATTGTTCCACCTAAAATGATCACTAATTAAGTACCAGTTATTTAACGTATATTATAGGAAACATTCAAAAAATGATCTTCCAAATATAAGACCTGAGGTTATCTAACCTATGAAGATGATCAATTTGATTCAAAATTCAATTTTCTTGATGAGCCAGTAAAATATGCAGAGTTAGAGACAAGCAAAAAAATCTAACAGCAAAGTCTACAGAAAATGGTTCGTGACGAGTAAAATTGTACACCAACGTTGGCATTGGGTCACAGAAGTAGTAATCCATCACTATATTATAGCGCTTATTTAATTAAGCGTTTTTTTAATGTTTCATGTTTTAAAACACAACACTTATTAATTAAGCGCTATCTAAATAGTGCTATCTATTGCCACTTTTAGAAAGCACTTTTTAATAAAAGCGCTATAACATATTTTTTTATAAATAAAATAACACAAAGATAGCATTTTTTTTATTAAGTGCTCTCTATATAAAACTATATTATAGCGCTTATTTAATTAAGCGCTTTTTTAACATTTCATGTTTTAAAACATAACACTTATTAATTAAGTGCTATCTAAATAGTGCTATCTATTGTCACTTTTAGAAAGCACTTTTTAATAAAAGCGCTATAACATATTTTTTTATAAATATAATAACACAAAGATAGCATTTTGTTTATTAAGTGCTCTCTATATAAAACTATATTATAGCGCTTATTTAATTAAGCGCTTTTTTAACGTTTCATGTTTTAAAACACAACACTTATTAATTAAGCGTTATCTAAATAGTGCTATCTATTGCCACTTCTGGTGTAGTGTTGGTGACACTAAGCAAGTATTTTTCCTCCTCCTCTGTCCACGCATCCTTCTTTATAGTTGGATCAAGATGATTGTTCCACCTAAAATGATCACTAATTAAGTACCAGTTATTTAACGTATATTATAGGAAACATTCAAAAAATGATCTTCCAAATATAAGACCTGAGGTTATCTAACCTATGAAGATGATCAATTTGATTCAAAATTCAATTTTCTTGATGAGCCAGTAAAATATGCAGAGTTAGAGACAAGCAAAAAAATCTAACAGCAAAGTCTACAGAAAATGGTTCGTGACGAGTAAAATTGTACACCAACGTTGGCATTGGGTCACAGAAGTAGTAATCCATCAAATAAGCAAACAAGACATTCACAATATACACAAAAATGGCCACCCTATGCTACAAATGTAAGGACACTTAGTAAGGTCTATTGTTACATACCTTTCTCGGCATTGCTTTCCAATCCGACCTGGTAAGTATTTGGAAATAATGGACCACCTCTTGATACCATACTTTTTGACTAGTTCAATGAGGCAAGCATCTTCCTAAAAAGTTTAGTGGAGAAGTAGACCAGAACCAGAATCAACATATGCCAATGAATGCAAATTAGAACATTAACAACAAAATTTGGTTCCAGATATGATATCAAATCGAGAAACAGAAAACCTAACTTGAAATTTGAATTGAGAGTTGTCGTTTAATGATTCCAGATATGATACCAAGGGATTTGGATTCATAACCCCCAATGATGGCACCAAGGATCTCTTTATTCACCAATCACAGATTCGATCTTAGAACTCGGGGCATGCCCGAGCCTCCGAGCTTTGCTAAAGGGACACGTGTAAATTGGAACTACTGTTTTAAATGCCATAACACTCCTTCATTTATTTTCTCCCTTTTAATATTCACTCTAGGCCTCATCCATCAACCCTTAATAAACAAAATGTATTTGCGACCAAGACGTTACTCGATAATAGCATGGAAAGGATAACAAAGGAACAATCAGGAATCCAAACATGACTAGGGTTCAATAAAAATAAGGGTGTCCCGCACAAATGCTGCAAAAAAGAAGGCCCGGCAGGAAACCTACAAAGGGGGCTGCGCAAAAGTTAGGGCAAGATCTGCTAGGCAATTCACAAGTAAAAATGGGTAACCTAGGCAAAAAAAAAATCAAAAGAAAAAATGTCCGCTAGGGAACACATCTCAAGTGACCTAGGCAAAAGTTAGGACGTTAAAGAAATAACTTGAGTTGAAAATTGAAAGGCAGCTCAGGGGAAACATTGAATCAGAGCCCGACCCCAAGTCATCACTTCGCTTTCCAAAAAGGCTAAAACACAATGATAGCTTCCTTGCAGCAAATACGTTTTTGTTTATTAACCCTAAACACCAAAGCCTACCTTGGCCAGCCCTTCTTCTAAAAAAACCCTTTTTGAAAAATCCCTTCTAACAACCCTTTTGAAAAAAAATAATATCCCTTCCTTCTTTTCTCTTGACCCTTATGACATCAAAATGGTACCGAAAAGATACACGGAAAATGCACAGTGAATACTCATAGGGGAAGCCAGAGATGTCCCTGAACAGTCTGGAGACGTTCAACTAGATAATTAAGGAGCCACTTAAACCTTGAGTTCAAAGGAACATATCCCGGCAATAATCACAAACGGCACGAATAAGAAGGAATCGTCAACTTTAACCTTAACGCGCATAGGTTAATCTCACGACATAAAAAAAAATTTAATTGCATGTTTAGGACTAAACACATGAGAATAAAATGCATCACATGCATATGAGTCAGGGACATATGGAAGGGTGTTACACAAAAAAAAAAAAGAATAAATAAAAGAATCATTCCTGTCTTGCATTTTCATTGCATCCATGCATCCATGTATGCTACTTGCTATGGGTCAGAAGGAGTCATCAGGATGAAGCACAATCTAAATAGCCAACCATGAGCCAATTAGTGGCAAACAACAACCCCAAGTGATTCTATGTGCCCACTAAGCAAAGACATATCAATAGTCGAATAGAATAGAATTGACCAAACAAGCAAGTCTGTAAGCATGAAGAGGCCATCACGCCTTACTCCTCAACTAAATGAAGGATGATCCAAAAAATACCAAGACCAGGAATGACTTCCTAACCAAAGCCAGGAGTGGCTTCCAAAATAATACTCTTCAATAAAAATTCAGCAAATAACATCATCATGGGATGTGATCCCTCCACCAATGATGACAACAAAATATAAAATCAAAAAAGGCAAGCTTCGTACATGTTGAAAAAGCCGAAGCATTTAGAAAAATAAAACAGAAAAAAAAAAAAAGGCAAGCTTCGTAAATGATGAAAAAGCCGAAGCATTTAGAAAACAAAATTTAGAAAAAAAACCCTGTTACAAGTAGACACCTGGAGAGGCATTACAATACTCACCCTAACAAGAACAACACCAAACTCTTACCAACCATCCCACAATGAAGACGCCTATCACAATACTCACATGGAAGGGGCAACACTAGAATCCCTGTCACCCATCAACTCCTTTGCCCTCCATCACAAGGGCACCACCTACCAGCAATCCTCGTCTTCATCAAACGTCCTCCCAAAGAAAAGGGGCAATCACATCATCATCATCAGCAGGTAGCCTGAGCAGGAAGCCTAGAGAGGATATACATAATCAATTATTATAGCAAGGCTCTTTTCACCTGTTGCTGGAATAATCGATTACACTTAATGATAATCGATTATTTTGAGTTAGTTTTCAAAAACTCAATTTTATACTTAAAAAATATTTTCAAGTATTTTAAATCATCATCATACTCACTCTCAGTCAACTTAGATTAAGATTAACCCATGCACAAAGCACACACATGCAAAATAAACTAAGCAACACAATACAACACATAAGAACTTATGAGCTACTCCTATTACACATCATGATTTTCATATCTTCCTCTTAACTAGTTTGTGTCCTTGGTCAGCTTCAACTTTTAAAATCCACCCTTTGTTATCATCAAAACTCTCATGCTCTCTCATACTTCAGAGCTTTAGTTGATTCACTACTCCATGAATCTCAACAATCTCCCCCTTTTTGATGATGACAAACCACTATGTTTTGCCAACCATCTTTTCACATTGTTAGATATGTGTAGCTTATTCCTTGTTCATATTTAGACACCTGTAAAACAAACTGAAACCTTTCTCCCCCTTTGGACAACATCAAAAACAAATAGGTACAAATATATATGTCCAGATATGGAGAATCAATTTTTGCAGATTGCATATGTATAGATATAGGCATAAGAGTCATTTGCTCAAAATCAATGCCACAAGACTAACTTAATATCAAGAAATCAGTCAAGCATTAACACCATAGGCACAATTTATAGAACTTGTTTCAGAGAATTTGATACATCATGAACACATATGTACTTCATACACAATTTATTCCACATGATACATCAGCTACAATAAGCATTATCCCAAATATGCCAGCAAACATCAACATATATGCATCAATTTTATCACAAACATATATCAATGTTCAAACCATAATATAGCAGTATCAAACATTCAAACCAATGTGACCATGAACAAATTATACCAAACACAATATAAAAACACAATTAAATTCAAATTGTTCCAGAATTAAAATTGTTCAAACCAAAATAAGCAAATTGTTCAGGAATTAAAATGATTACAACCAAATTGAAATTTCGAACAGAAATTTAAAAACTAAAACTAGAACTTCTAAAACTCCTAAATGCATCACTCCGAGTCCTCTTGCATTCCAAGCTGAGCCTTAATCCTAGGAATCTCATGATCAAGATTATCAAACCGATCAAGAATACCAGAATAATATGACTCATGCTTCCTTGACATTTCTATCATAGCATCAAGCTTATCGATCATAATCTGTTCAAACAGAGAAAATGCTTTAGGTTCCGACTCTTGCTCTTGCACTGGTTCATGCTACACTTGTGGTGGCAGTTCCTCATCATGAGATGGAACTCCATCTTCATTCGTCGCCGGTTCTGGTGTTGGAGGAACATCACCTTTGAACACCCATTTATCTTCTTGCTTTAGCATCCCCATATGATGCAAATAAGATTTTTCAATCTTGTTTGAGGCATGGAGAATTATCTTTTTCTCCCCTTGAAGATCCACACCAGCTTTCTCAAAAATTATAGACAATAATAAAGCATACGGTATTGGACCATCCTCCTTTCTCCTAGCCTTCCAGATACAATCAATCACAACAGACACCCAATCTATCTTTATCTTTTCTTAATGACATGCATAAGCAAAATATCATCTCTAGACATTTGAGCATAGTTATGAAGCTTAGGTTTGAGCATCCAAGCTATTATAAAAGAAATCAACCTAGAGTTTTTCTGCGTACCCCCAGCCATAAATTTGTTATAATTTGTGGTCTTCGGGTTCCTTTGACAATCCCGAAAGGTTGTCAGCTCTTCAAAGTCACCGAAATTGAAGGGTTGGGGCTTCACACTTCTTGTTCCACTAAGCCCAACCACTTTTTTCAAAGTTGGTCCATCAAGCTTTATGAGCTTGCCTTTCACCAAAGATTGCATTATCCCCTCATTGCTTGAGGCAAAACACAAGAACAACCTAATGAGATCTGGGTAATACGGACCTTCAAACTCCAAGAACTTCCCAAGCTCTTGATGCTCCAAGAGAGGAGGAAAACTTAAACCCTCACTCTTGAACCACTCCAGCTTCAAAGTCTTTAGAGGAATGATTCACCTACCCGCATACCACTTGATGGAATAACAATAAGGCCAAGAAGAACAAGAGGTGATATATTGAAGGAGGCAAAAGGAATAGGTTAGTGTTGAAAAAACCATAGGAGGAGTGGACCTATTTTTGGGCCTTAGCTCCTACGTTTTAATTAGCATAAAATTTATTCCTATTTTTCCCTTATCTTTAACTTTCCCATTTTCACCCTTGTATTTTGGGTATGTTAGACATTAAATTTATTTTCTTTTGTATTTCCCATTTTACCCTTGTATTATGGGTTATCTTAGTCATAGGATTTATTTTCTTTTGTATTTCCCATTTTACCCTTGTATTATGGGGTGCTTTAGATCATAGGTTTTTAATTTTGGGCTAAGGTATTTAATTAGGGAGCTAGACGCATTTTTGGTGGTTTTTGGACCTATTTTTGGACTTGGAAAGGCTTAGGCCCAAGTGGAGAGCACTAGGTTGCATGGTCTTACATGCACCTACATGTGGCCTAACCAAACCCAAAGATTCCATCCTTGGCTACCAAGTTGCATCTAGGGTTATTTTGGGTTTCATTTGGTGTGCATTTGGCATTGTAAATTTTGGCCAACGCAACCCTAAATGCAACCCTAAATGCCTCCCACTCCTATAAATACCCTAGGCACCACACCTTGTAAATACTTTGGATGTTGAATATAGAGAGATCTTTTGTGCCTTTATGTCATTCCTTAGTCACCCTTGGATAATTCGACCACCTCCCTCCCATCTCCACCTTGAGAGAAACAACCCTAGAAGTGGCCTTCATCATCATGCAGTGAGCCAACCCTAGAGTACCCTTCTCAAGCATTTCCTGAAACACCTTCTACCCAACCTCCAAACACTTCCATTTCTGCCCCATTCCTCCATTAAAACGTCCCTTGAGGAACTTTGATCGAAGGAGTTCAAGCATCCCTTGCCATTGTTCAACATTCCTTCTTCAACGGAAGCAAGGATGCCATCATGTGGTATCTAGAGCCTTGGTTCTTCAAGGGTAACATCTTTGTCTCTTTAAATTCGGTCATGTCTACTTTGAGTCTTCTTGTTGTCTTTTAAGTTGTGCGTGATTGAGTCATCATTTTGCCATATGTTCATGGGTCATATTGCTTCCACTACTACAAGAGATACATTTTACATCAGTTTTTTAGACATTTTACATCGATTTTAGAAACGATGTAGATTAAGGTGACGTAGAAAGTGAAGACATTCTACATCAGTTTAAAAACTGATGTAGAATGTGTCATATTCTACATCGGTTCTATCAATAACCGAAATAGAATATGACACATTCTACATCAGTTTTATCAAGAACTGATGTAAAATTTGCCATATTCTACATCGGTTGTTGATAAAATCGATGTAGAATATGACATATTCTACATTAGTTCTATTGGTAACTGATGTAAATATCTCAATAAACAAAATTACATTAATAGGAAAAATTCATTTACATCAATTAACCCCCAAAATCTCTTATAACATTACACCATTAAATAGTAATTACTAAAATCATTTGCCTCCAAAAAAAAATTTCATGCTTGTTAAATTAAGCTGAAAATGACATAACATTATAATTTAAACACATATCATGACAAAGAATGTGTATCTTAAGAGTATATACTAGTACTTAAGAGAGAAAAATAAAAAGATTCAATACCAAAAGCAAGTTTATGTGCGTCTTACATCACTTAGTTTCATAACGTGTGTGAGTGTATATATATATATATATATATATATATATATATATAAACCAAAAGTACAATGAATATAATAGACATAAAAAAGAAATTACATTTTGATCCCAATGACAGCCTACTACAATAGGGAAAATTATATTGCAAGAACAATATAAAATATTGTGATGAGCAAAAATTTAGTACTATAAAACAACATATAGGTTGGCAGCAAACTATAGTGTTGACTGATTGATCTGATTCTCCAATTCTAACATTCCTGAGCCAACTCCAAATAAAGAAAGTTGAATTTGTTGATTTGGAACTCTGAATTAACTTTGTCCACTGTATAAGGCATCATAGTTTATTCTTGTGAAGCTGCATTCAAAACTTAGTTGGATGAGGCAATACAATTATTTGGTTGTTAAAACACATTAGAACTATATAAAACAAAGGCATCACTTCCTTCAACCACTCCATAACTTCTCAATATTGTTGGAAACTTCCACATAATAGTATGGCTTGACTTGGATTAAAATCAATAGATTCATGCATTGAATGCAACAATTCTTGAGAGTCAAACAATTTTTTGTTTAAATATAAACTTGATTGGGTCTTATTTACATTACTAAAGAGAATTTAGTATTAAATCAAATGAATCCCAAAGTATGGTACAAGCAACTATAATTGACAAACATGCCTGTAGTCTAAAGTAAGCTCATCTCTTAATATAGGACTTTCTAAATAATAGTATTTAAAATATCATTTAATTTGGTTCAAAATTCAACTTCCATGTATATTCAAAAGTTTTTAAAAATGTCTTGTGTTGGATTCTCATTCGGATTTAAAACTGTGTTCGATTCTCATTCAAATTAATTTAAACTTGTCTTAATAATAATATGGCATTGTTTATCATATGCATCCAAGAAATTCAAAATTAAAACATGTAAAAAATATAGAACATACAAATGTAACTCTTGAAATATTTATCAATATATAAATTAGAAAGGAAAAATTAAAAATGACAACACAACAAAGAGTGACTAAAATAAAAAATAAAGAAAGTGGTGATCATGGAATTCAACAGATAAATTTCTTAGAAATAACACATATATGGTATGATGTTTTTGTTGTCTATTTAAAAATATTCAAAGCAAAGAAGCAAAGTGTAAAAGTAGTTAGAGCACCAACCATCTAAGTTTGAATTTACCTCTAAAACTAGCTTCAGATCTTGTGACTTGAGGGATATTCTGAAGTAATAAAAAAAATCTGAAGAAGAGCCCGCCCCTTGTTACTTGGGGGATGGTATTTTGGAAGGCAAAAATAATTTTATATTAGGAGGTAAGCTCTAATACAATGCATCCCTTGTATTTGAAGGCATAGAACTAGATTTGACAACCTGACAACACAACAATGACTTAGTAGAAAGTTATTAAATGCATTTAGACAACTATGTAACTACAACTGATACAGACCAGGAACTCCAAAGTGATTCAATTACCCTGCCTTTTGATTTGGACTTAAATTATCCTCCTCTTCACACTTATCCTGATAATCTTGTGCAAATCTTTCCAAAACATGTAACTCGTGGTATAATTCCCGAGGCCGTCAAAATTAAGAACTATAACCAAATTTAATCATATGAACATGATTGAAAATATATAGTATCCTTAAATATTTACTTATGTTTTGAAGCCTGCATAATACATTCAGGTAAAGTACCTTCCGGGAAGAAGCCTTGCAATTTCTGCCCACTTAGTGCCATATATTTGACTACAATCGCACAATCCAAATTTTAACAAAATTCAAGAAAAGTAACCGATTGAATTATGGATTTAGGTTATTTCTAATCAGAAAATACTTCTTCTCATTTTCATTTAGGATTCAAAACAGACACTAGTGCAAAAATAGGCTTTTACGTCACCTAATTTATGTCAGAAAAATGTAAATACGACGTTATAAAAATGCGGTGGCAGTTCCGTAAATATAGACTGACTAATTTACGTCAGACATTGGGGGGTCCGACGTAAATTAGACAATCTACGTCGGAGGAAACATGTGGCCGACGTAGATTGTCTAATTTATGTCTGACCCCCCTTGTCCGACGTAAATTAGCCACTAAAATGCCAACGTTCCTTTCACTTCCCGCGCGTCCCTTTGTATTATTTTCTCTCATCTAACTCTCAACCTTCTTCTCTCAATCTCTAAGTGTCTAAGTTCGTGTGTTTGCACATTCGTCCTTTGTCTAAGCCTCTAAGATTCTGCACATTCCACATTTGAGGTAACTTTCTTCAACGAATTATTTTCTAAATTTTCTGCTAAATATTCATCTGGAACGGCCCGTTCTGCAACCAGAATGGGCCGTTCTGCTTGATTTATTTGTCTGTTAATTGTTGATCTAGAACGGGACGTTCCGAAACCAGAACGAGCCGTTCAAGATAAACAATTAACAAAGAATTATTGCAGCTGGAACGGCCCGTTCTGATTTTAGAACGGGCCAGTCTAGACGCATAAATATTTGTTTATTGTGTATCTGGAACGGCCCGTTCTGGTTTCAGTACGGGCCGTTCCAGATGCATTAAAGAGGGACTTTTTAGGCATTGACCTTTAGTTTATCATCGTATTAGTAGAAATGGTTCTGGATTTTATCCGAAATTACTATCGATTTTTTAGGGTTGTAGTTTAGGTTAGAAAAATTATGAATAACTGAGTCAATAGTTAATTTGTGTTAATATATAGATAATGAATTGAAGTTGGATGAATGCAAGTCGCATTAGTCAAGAGTACAGAAATGGAGTTGAAGAGTTCTTGCAAATTGCAAGAGAAAATGGGAAACCCATCAAAGGGGCATATTATTGTCCTTGTGTTCGTTGTTTGAATCAGATACGTCAGGAAGTTGGGGAAATACGTGATCACCTGTTTATATATGGTATTGTGAAGAGTTATACAGTATGGACATGGCACGGAGAAATATTAGACATTCCAACGTTGTCAACAACTGAAAATTTTGAAGGGATGGACGTTAATTTAGAAGAGATGATACGTGATGTTGGTGAAGAAAATTTTGAAAGAGCACATGTGTATGATACCTTAAAGTCTGATTTTGAGCATTGATAGCTCAGTCGTATCACTATCAAACAATTCTAGGTTCCTCAACAAATTTTTGTAATATAGAGAACTTAACCTAGGTCATCTCTCAAGGACACAAGCACATTGTATTTTGAATTTAATCATGTATGTAAATCAGTTTAGAACTCGGGGGCGAGGGGGGGGGGAATTTTGGAGCAAACAATTAGAACAAAGTATCAGGAAAGCAAAGAAATCAAATCAACACAAAATTTCAGTAGTATAGAAATTCGGTTCAAGGTTTCAATTCCTACGGTATAATCATCATTGTTCACAACAAATACGAATTCTCAATCCATCTAATTTAATCCGAAATTAATCCAAACAGTAATCTAAATCTAGATTGTGAATTATATTAAAACAGAAACTACAATCGCACATTCCAAATTTTAACAAAATTCAAGAAAAGTAACCGATTGAATTATGGATTTAGGTTATTTCTAATCAGAAAATACTTCTTCTCATTTTCATTTAGGATTCAAAACAGACACTAGTGCAAAAATAGGCTTTTACGTCACCTAATTTATGTCAGAAAAATGTAAATACGACGTTATAAAAATGCGGTGGCAGTTCCGTAAATAATATGTTAATCAATCAATTAGTTATCTTACAACACATATCGAATGGAAATAAAAGAATATATATAAGTTCTGCTACGTCGTTTGGATACACACACAAAAAAAAAAGCGTATAAAATATCGATGTTAATAAGCATGATTAAATAAAAGTATATATAACAAATGTGTATTATAAAATATTGATAAAAAATAAGTCGGTTCAATTTGTGAAAAGATGAGCTGAAAATTGGCCCAACCTCTTCGATTAAAAAAAAGTCAAAAAACTTAATTTTAGTTATTTATTTATTAATTTTCAATGTTTTAATTAGTTTGCAATTTTTTTATTAATATAAGTCAAATATAGAATTGAATTATAAACAAGTGTTTTATTTTCTTATAAACACGTAGAATTGATTTCAAGTTCCTAGAAACACACGTGTATATTCGTAGTTAACCTTGTATTTGCTTGCTCATGTTCTAGGAACACGTGGTTGGTGAGTCTGTCTTTTGCCTTTTCTTAATTGTTGAGTATATTCATTTTCTAGGAACATGTGGATATGTGAATATGTGAATACAAGCCCAGCCCCCACACGGCAACTGATGCGCTGGTATTCACCAAGTTTCAAGAACAGGAACCGCATTTTCTGAGTTTTAGACACGTGAGCTATATTGTCTGCAGAATACCTTGAATATTTACTGATTCAACTTGTTGTTTGATCCACTCAGCATCCTCTAGTTCCTCAGTGTCAAGTTCAGCACCCTTTGATATCTAGAACATTTGGAGAGAACCAGCCAACTGCACCAACTCCTTATATTTATCTTCAACAACAAGTTTTGCATCAACAAGCTTCATTTGGACGCGTTCTTCACGCCACAGTTCAGCCATTTGCATCATCTTCCTCTCTTCTTCCACTTCCTCGCAAATCCTTTTCGAATCGCTCAGTATTGCCTTAAGCCTAGCCTTGTATTCTCCTATTTGCATGGCCAGTTCTTCGCACACTTCCTCCATTAGTTCTCTTTCTTTCTTTTCTTTCTCATACTTTGTCATAAACTGTTTGGTCAATGAGTTTGCTTCAGCCAGTTCATGTATCAGTTTGCTATTAAGTAACTCCGTCCTCTCTCTACTTCTTCTTTCTCTTTCCAACTTGCCCTTTAAGTCATCTAACATTGCTTTCATCTTGTGGTGTTGCCTCTGCTTCCAGAAGATGCTTTCCTCTTTGATATTATGCAGAAATTGTTCAATGTTTTTCTTCATCGACTTCTGTTCTGCTTTCACTTTATTGATGGACCTTTGAGTCTGAAGGAGTTGTTCTTCTAAGAATGCTGTGACAAAAGGGTTATGGCCACCACTCCCTATTACTATAATTAATCACCCAATTCAGGTAAACTATGCTATAGTTTCCATGTTGTTGGTTATGGGTTTGGGAAATTTGACAAACTCATGGACGCCACAAAATACAATCTCATTGACCCTCAACTTCCAAATACAGTGCCATTGCCTAACTGTTCTTCATGCTAATTCTTTTTTATCTAAGTTTCCTTTGACAATTGATTCTGCTCTTTATGCTAGGAGTTTGGTTCATGCACTGCCTGCTGAACCGTCACCTCTCAGGGGGCATGGGAACACTTTCCATTGTGAAGAATCATAAGGGTTTGGAAAGAAAATTGCTACCTCCACCATATTGGAGATGCTTACCTTCAGGTTGGAGAAAATTTTGGATTGTAGTATAACTTGCTCAATGTGGTAAGCGCAAATTTAAGGTTTTAAGTTTTAACTTATGCTACGAGATGTTATTCGCTTAGGAAAAAGCTATGTTTACGAGTGTATTGAATGTAATTGCATCCAGTTTTCCAATTTTTATCTTTGCATTGCATTTTATTATAGCCATCCATGTGATGTCTTTAGTTTTAGATAAAGGAGAAAAAGCAGCATCGATATAAAAAAAAAGGTCATATATATATGAGGATGTGTCTTTGGAAAGAGATTTTGTTTTTGTGCAACAAAGTCATGTATTCTTGAGAAGTGGAAAAAATAGTAAGAGTTATGTTCATATTATTGGGCTTTCCCCTGCAACAAACTATACAATGATATTATTTTTTTTAGTTTATCAAACTATATCAACTTACACAGGGCAGGTAATAAAATTTGTTTCATACCCATTTGTTTTCTGTTTTCATTAGTGTGGTTTGCATCATGTAGTGATATGTTCAGGCTAAAAGAGTACTTCTATACCACAAAAACAGGGAATGCTTTTCTTAGACTCTAAATAATCAGACTGAAAACACCATTTTAACTATTTGTGAGAACTAATTCTTTTAATCGAAGACAACACCATTTCACAATTAATGATTTCACAAATTTTTGTTATAATATTTCATAATCTTATTATGAGTGGTGTTGTAAAAATAGTAAAATAGGGACATTGATTATACAATATATATTAGGCAATTCACACACTCAACCAATATTTTGTAATTGTAAAATTCATTTTCAAGCATATTAGATAATCTTGTTTAATTATTAAAATTTCAAAACAACACAAATCATCATACATCATTCGCAACAAAAGATAAAAATAGTAAATATAAAAATAAAAAATAAATGCAATATTTGACTAAAAGAAGGTAATCACATATGAGAACTCACCTTTTTTTAGAACTCAACTTTTTTTTGTTTCTTATAAGAAGAAAAGAACGTAACTTTTCAAGGATGAATCTTGGAAAAAAAAAAGCCCTTTCTCAATAGAAGAGATTAACATCTTTGTCACAAAATTTCTTCATCACAAAATTTGCAGTTGTCACAGTGCTTTCTTCTATTGATCAAAGAAAAATTAAAAGAAAAGGAATTTAATATTTCTTTCTTGAATCAAAGTTAAGCATTAATTGGAAAAAAAATTCAATAAAGAACAAAAAAAAGAAACACCTAATAACAAAAACCTGGAATACGAGTTAATAATGTGAATGCTGAGCTAAATGTTGTGAATGATGGTAAAGGAAGATTTCAAAGGATGTTGTGAATGATGGTAAAGGAAGATTTCAAAGGATAACTAGGGGCCGGGAGTGATAAGGAGCGGGAGTGATAGAATACTAAATGTTAACGTGAGTGTGAAGGAAAATAAAAAACCGTGGGTTATGAGGACGTACAGTGAATACAGAAATGCATGAAGTGAATCGGCCCATTAAACAAAAGTCCAATACAAAGCATTTTTTTAATAAGCGTTTTGTAATTATTTTTCTGAAAATATTATTTTTCAATGAGTGCCATAATAATTTTTTTTAAAAAATAGTTAATTTATAAAATTTTATAAATGACGCTTCTATTTACACGTGCTGTTTATCTATATTATTTAAAAAGAACTTTTTTAGAAAACTTCTATAACATATTTTTTTATAAAAGATTAATAAAAAATGTTTTTTTAATAAGTACTTCGCAATTATTTTTTTTTTAAATGTTATTTTTCAATGAGTGCCATAATAATTTTTTAAAAATATAATCAATTCATAAAATTTTATAAATGGCGCGCTGTTTATTTATTTTCTTTTAGAAAGTACTTTTTTTAGAAAAGTGCTATAACATTATTTTTTATAAATAAAATAACATAAAGATAGCATTTTTTGTTTATTAAGCATTTTCTATATAAAACTTTATTATAGCTCTTATTTAATTAAGCGCTCTTTTAACGTTTCATGTTTTAAAACACAACACTTATTAATTAAGCGCTAACTAAATAGTGTTATCTATTACCACTTATAGAAAGCACTTTTTAATAAAAGCACTTTTTAATAAAAGCGCTATAACATATTTTTTTATAAATAAAATAACACAAAAATAACATTTTTTTTATTAAGCGCTCTCTATATAAAATTATATTATAGCGCTTATTTAATTAAGCGTTTTTTTAATGTTTCATGTTTTAAAACACAACACTTATTAATTAAGCGCTAACTAAATAGTGTTATCTATTACCACTTATAGAAAGCACTTTTTAATAAAAGCACTTTTTAATAAAAGCGCTATAACATATTTTTTTATAAATATAATAACACAAAGATAGCATTTTGTTTATTAAGTGCTCTCTATATAAAACTATATTATAGCGCTTATTTAATTAAGCGCTTTTTTAACATTTCATGTTTTAAAACATAACACTTATTAATTAAGTGCTATCTAAATAGTGCTATCTATTGTCACTTTTAGAAAGCACTTTTTAATAAAAGCGCTATAACATATTTTTTTATAAATATAATAACACAAAGATAGCATTTTGTTTATTAAGTGCTCTCTATATAAAACTATATTATAGCTCTTATTTAATTAAGCTCTTTTTTAACGTTTCATTTTTTAAAACACAACACTTATTAATTAAGCGTTATCTAAATAGTGCTATCTATTGCCACTTCTGGTGTAGTGTTGGTGACACTAAGCAAGTATTTTTCCTCCTCCTCTGTCCACGCATCCTTCTTTATAGTTGGATCAAGATGATTGTTCCACCTAAAATGATCACTAATTAAGTACCAGTTATTTAACGTATATTATAGGAAACATTCAAAAAATGATCTTCCAAATATAAGACCTGAGGTTATCTAACCTATGAAGATGATCAATTTGATTCAAAATTCAATTTTCTTGATGAGCCAGTAAAATATGCAGAGTTAGAGACAAGCAAAAAAATCTAACAGCAAAGTCTACAGAAAATGGTTCGTGACGAGTAAAATTGTACACCAACGTTGGCATTGGGTCACAGAAGTAGTAATCCATCAAATAAGCAAACAAGACATTCACAATATACACAAAAATGGCCACCCTATGCTACAAATGTAAGGACACTTAGTAAGGTCTATTGTTACATACCTTTCTCGGCATTGCTTTCCAATCCGACCTGGTAAGTATTTGGAAATAATGGACCACCTCTTGATACCATACTTTTTGACTAGTTCAATGAGGCAAGCATCTTCCTAAAAAGTTTAGTGGAGAAGTAGACCAGAACCAGAATCAACATATGCCAATGAATGCAAATTAGAACATTAACAACAAAATTTGGTTCCAGATATGATATCAAATCGAGAAACAGAAAACCTAACTTGAAATTTGAATTGAGAGTTGTCGTTTAATGATTCCAGATATGATACCAAGGGATTTGGATTCATAACCCCCAATGATGGCACCAAGGATCTCTTTATTCACCAATCACAGATTCGATCTTACGGATTTCGAAGCCTCGCCGAGGGGGAGTCCAACGAGTTCGCCATTCAGTCCGACTCTGACGGCCGCACTAAGGCGGTCGAGGTCACTAGCCCCGACGGCTCCAACGTTCAGCGCTCCAAGCGTGGTGGTGATGGTGGCGGCCAGAGTTACGACAGTGGAAGAGGAGGCGGAGGCTACGGCGGAGGTTGCTATGGTGGAAGAGATGGTGGCGGCGATGGAAGCTATTACAACTGTGGTGGCGGCCAGAGTTACAACAGTGGAAGAGGAGGCGGAGGCTACGGCGGAGGTTGCTATGGTGGAAGAGGTGGTGGCGGCGATGGAAGCTATTACAACTGTGGTGAGTCTAGTCATAGGGCTAGGGACTGCTTTCAAGGAGGTAGTGGAGGAGGCAGCGACGGTGGAGGGAGGTATGGCGGAGGCGATGGTGGAAGGTACGGTGGAGGAGGTGGTGGCAGTGGTGTTGGAAACTGCTACAGTTGTGGAAAATGAGGGCATTTTGCAAGGGATTGCCCAACAAGTGCTCGTTGAATGGATAATAGTTCGTAAATAATGCGTAAAATGGCTAATAATAGTGTACTTTTACATCGTTTCTTATTAAGACCGACATAGAGTAGTGTACTTTTACATCGTTTCTTATTAAAACCGATTTAAAATGGCTAATAATTTGTAAATAATTATAAAGGTGCCACCGCACCTTTTTTTACATCAGTTATTGAACAACCGATGTAGAAGACCCAATGTAGAATAGTATTTTTGTAATAATGTTCTTTGATGTGTTGATTCATGCCTTCATCATTCTTGTGAATCATCTGGGTGCTTTAGGCTTCCTTGCTAGGGTTTCTATCAATTTTTCTTTAAATTTAAGTTGCTGGAAAATTTTGGGCTGCATGATATAATGATGTTTTTTATTTTTTTAATCCATCCGGTTTTGTCATAAGCTTGTCTCCTTTGAACTACCTTGAAAGAAATTCCAAATTTTTATGCTTAACCATGGAAATAAGTAAAATATGACATGCATGCCACTTGTTTGATGAAATGGCCGTGAGTCCTTGATGTGCTTTAGAGAGTCAATAATGCATGCTAATTAGTTCTAGCATGTTCTACATTCCTAAAATATCATGTGTGATTAATTTCTTTGCACATATTTGATCAAAATTTGTAGCCACGTTGTGTATCCCTTTGTGCACTTGACATGCCTATATATTGTTTGATGTTTTGAGTATGAAAATGACTTTTATGTGTGATAGCTCAGTCGTATCACTATTAAACAATTCTAGGTTCCTCAACATTCCTCAACAAATTTTTGTAATATAGAGAACTTAACCTAGGTCATTTCTCAAGGACACAAGCACATTGTATTTTCAATATATTCATGTATGTAAATCAGTTTAGAACTCCAGAGGGGGGAATTTTCAAGCGAACAATTAGAACAAAGTATCAGGAAAGCAAAGAAATCAAATCAACACAAAATTTCAGTAGTATAGAAATTCGGTTCAAGGTTTCAATTCCTACGGTATAATCATCATTGTTCACAACAAATACGAATTCTCAATCCATCTAATTTAATCCGAAATTAATCCAAACAGTAATCTAAATCTAGATTGTGAATTATATTAAAACAGAAACTACAATCGCACATTCCAAATTTTAACAAAATTCAAGAAAAGTAACCGATTGAATTATGGATTTAGGTTATTTCTAATCAGAAAATACTTCTTCTCATTTTCATTTAGGATTCAAAACAGACACTAGTGCAAAAATAGGCTTTTACGTCACCTAATTTATGTCAGAAAAATGTAAATACGACGTTATAAAAATGCGGTGGCAGTTCCGTAAATATAGACTGACTAATTTACGTCAGACATTGGGGGGTCCGACGTAAATTAGACAATCTACGTCGGAGGAAACATGTGGCCGACGTAGATTGTCTAATTTATGTCTGACCCCCCTTGTCCGACGTAAATTAGCCACTAAAATGCCAACGTTCCTTTCACTTCCCGCGCGTCCCTTTGTATTATTTTCTCTCATCTAACTCTCAACCTTCTTCTCTCAATCTCTAAGTGTCTAAGTTCGTGTGTTTGCACATTCGTCCTTTGTCTAAGCCTCTAAGATTCTGCACATTCCACATTTGAGGTAACTTTCTTCAACGAATTATTTTCTAAATTTTCTGCTAAATATTCATCTGGAACGGCCCGTTCTGCAACCAGAATGGGCCGTTCTGCTTGATTTATTTGTCTGTTAATTGTTGATCTAGAACGGGACGTTCCGAAACCAGAACGAGCCGTTCAAGATAAACAATTAACAAAGAATTATTGCAGCTGGAACGGCCCGTTCTGATTTTAGAACGGGCCAGTCTAGACGCATAAATATTTGTTTATTGTGTATCTGGAACGGCCCGTTCTGGTTTCAGTACGGGCCGTTCCAGATGCATTAAAGAGGGACTTTTTAGGCATTGACCTTTAGTTTATCATCGTATTAGTAGAAATGGTTCTTTACTTTGGTTTATTTGAACAAGGTCGGTTATAAGGATGAACCTTTTATTATGGCATATCAAGCAAGACAAATTTTTTATGTCAAGGATCCATGTAATGAGAAATGGTCAGTGGTCCTCGAAGGAAGAATGGAAGTCACGAAGATGAGTCTCTAGATATGCATGAGACACCGTCTTTCTCAAGCAGATCATTTGGTCCTATTGCGGACAATGAAGTGGACAAAATACATGCTATTTGAAGTGATCACGAGGAAGGAATATGGGAAAACATTCCAACCTAATAGGTTTCTATTTGTGTATTATTTGTTTTTTTATTAGTTGTTTTGTTGTTATATTGTTATTATCTTTTTTACTTTATTTGTCTATTCAGTTAATTCGTTGTTTTAATAATGAGAGTTTAATTTTTTCAGGATTATGGAGGATTCGGGGTCTGGCAGTGGAAGGAGGGAAGGTGGATCTGTCACCCGATTGTCTAGGAGTCCTAGCTCGATGGCATGTTTCTATTATCATTCCATCATGGGATGATGTTCAGGAGGCTGACAAGAACCTCATGTGGCAAGATATTCAGGTATATACTTTCACATCCCTTCAATATTATATAACTTAAATACATTATTTATTATTTGTTGTTATTTTCATAGCAAAATTTTGACATTCCCAACACTGAGGTCATGAGGAGGAAGATGTTATCTGCCCTTGCCACCAGGTGGAGAGACTTCAAGACTTTCTTGACACGGGAGTATGTATTTGGAGAGCGACAAAATGAGACTCCCTGTCTAAAGTACCAGATCACTGATGAGGAGTGGATGCAATTTCGTGCCACTCGATTGGACCCTTCTTGGCAGGTTAGTTATTGATAACTCTTACATTGACACAAATACTTAAGGTATATTTTAATTAATCTCATTTTCTTTTTTGTATTATTGCAGGCTAAAAGAATAGCTGCCCAAGAACGACAGGCCAAGAATGATGCACCCCATCTATTGTCAAGAGGGGGATATGAAAGAAAAAAAAA